GGAGATAAAGACTGTATATTTGGTATGCATACTCCATTAATAGGTTCTTTCAAATGACACCAATGCCACTGAACTTGTGACCTTGACAGTGACCTATATGCTAAAAATAGCTTTTTTGAACTACTATGTTGCCGCCGGGCACATGGTGGTTCGTAAACACATCTTGTTTAATACATATATTTAATTATAATTCCCAAAAGAAAACACGTGTTTTATTATGCGGTTGTCCTCCATTGTCAGTAAATGGTTCCAGTATCGTACAGCGTGTCCATGCAGTGTCCATGGAAAGGCAGCTTCCAACCGAAATGTAATGCTGGTATAGATGTAAATTTGTGTACCCCCAAGTATGTGCGATTCTGTACCATCTCAATGCAGTGATTGTTTCGAAGGCCCTATATTTCACTAAAATAGTCCAAAAACTGGTAAAAGTCGAAATCCCTACATCCCCCCGAAAGCACGTCCATGCACCTCAGTTATTGTAATACTTCTATACACAGAGAGAGCATTTTTCATTGGTTTCCGTATTTTATTTTTAGGACCACAGTTATAATTTCAGAATACTGAATTAAAGGAAACTCTTTTTTTCTAGTGCGCATGATGCAACTTCCTGGATGGTATGAAGTGTAAATCCCCTACTGTGTGTCTCCTGACGATTTTCTATCTTAAAAACTGTATAGATGTTAAATCATATTTTCTCATCTCAAATCTGTGTCTAAGCATTCAATTTCATTATCTCCTTCATTAATTTTCTGCCGACAGTATAGTGAATATATATTAATTCAATTAAAGCTATTGTTTAATTAGGCTTTAGGCTTGGTTCATTTGTTATATAAGAAAGATAACTCTTCACACGGTTGTGAAAAGTATTTCAACTGATTGAGTTTTAAGAGTTACTTCCCTTTACGCATGTTTTTAGCATTATAGGTAGTAAGGATTCCAATATTTATTTATGACACAATTTTAATGATTCTTTAATGATATCTGTTATAATAGTATTATATATTTATTGTACCATGATAGTGGTATTATTGTATTTAATATTAATTTTAGAGCCATTTATATGATAAATACATGTATTGATGATTAAAATATTTTTGTGTTGTTTAAATAATATCCCAGGATTTCCCATCATATATGAAAAATGGAATTACATGGATACTGATAACATATAATGTATTTTCTGAAAAAAAATATAAATTTTCAACAAACTTTAATAATTAATTACTCCCCGGCGGTGCCAACATTGTTCATTCTTTAGTCTTTTTTTTCTTTTTTGAACTTATTCGAATTTGTATTTAAATCTAACTAATGGAAAATTAATTTGAGTTTTTCTGACCTAATTTTGAGAGCTAGATTTCAGACAAAATGTATTTACCACTCAGAACATCCAACTTACTCCTTTTTGTTTAAATCTGAGATAAACACAAAGGTTATATGACACCTCCAAGACCATGCACAAACTGAGAACAAAATATAATTTATAATCAAGTTTTAGATTTTTGTAGTTACACAAGTCACACAATTGTATAACTGACATTTTAAATTCAAAATTAGGTTAAAAACTGAGTAAAATTAATCAAATTGAAGTCTGTTTTCATGTGATATATTCTTGAAACTTGTATTTCCAACCTTCATGCCAGAACATTGTACACCTTGACCTCATTAAGCTGATACAAATAGGTCAGTAGGTCACATGACTGAGGTAACCTTTAAAGAAAACTACTGACATATTTGTATCATAGCTATGTGAGACCAAGGTGTATGTTAATTCTCTGTACTTCAACATAACAAGTAGAATACACACTGTACATGTAGAATACATACTGTACATGTAGAATACAGTCAAACCTCATTACTTCTAGATCTATCTCTATGGATCGATTAGAAAGAACTTTGAATTCAAAGCTTTAAGAAATCATTTAAGGGTAAAATACCTGAAAATGTTTCAGGTAGATGTCTACATCACTTCAACATTTCATGGTATTCAACATATCAATTTATTCTAGATAGCAAAGTTCTGGTTTACATGTATGTTAAATTAACTCCCCTTTCAAGATTTTTTCACTGATATACAGACACCAAGCACTGCTGGAGTAGGTCTGCACAATTTAGATCATGACAAGGAGCACACAGCGGGTGTGACCGCTTAGCAGGGGATGCTCACTCCTCCATGGCACCTGATCCCACCTCTGATGTTTGGGAGGTCTGTGTTTGCTCTGCTCATATTTTGTATTCTTTTATGGACTCTGAGATTGAATACTGTTCATTATCTCTGTATACTTCATCTATACATCTTGGCACCCGGGGGCAATTGTGCAGTGAGGGAACTTTTTCTCTCCAACACAAACTGCAACATAGAACTTAGTTTATACGGGTATGGTATCATCCGAATAACCAGTCTCCATATCCCGCTGTGGGATTTGAACCTGCGATGTGAGGCTCAACACTTTACTCCACAACTCTAGAGAAAAGGCTCTAACAATGTGCAGGCTGCTTATTTACAGACTACATGTACATGTACAGTTACCTGACACAACTACCAAATAAATACACATTTATTTACAATAAAAAACAAATAAATACAAGACATACAGCAAATAAATATACTATGCTAACAATTGCATGAAACCTGAAAACAAATCTCGAGGTGGATGTACATGTACACCTGAAAACAAAGCTTAAGGTGGATGAACCCAAAATAATAGTTTTTGTTGTAATATCATCCTTGTTAAAAGTAAATTTATAAATTTGGAAGTAAATACAGGCAGTTAGAAGATTGCAATATCATTATAATATAAATTGTTACAGGTAAAGAGTTCAAAATTGCAATATATCTAATTTATATCCACTGAATATTATTTCCTTTATTCCTTCAGACCACTGCCCTTATCTCATTCTAAATGACACAAAACAAGCCACTTGCATTAAAATTTCTTGAACAATGGCTGTTTTTTCAATTATGCATACATTACAATGACATATGTCTATAATACAATTTATAACAACATTTAACCAAAGACAGCATTGTATTGCTTAAATTAAACAACATAATTAGAGATGTCCTTCTGTATTCTCATGAAGAAATCGTGATATCTTCTCTGCCACCAGAGATTCGGTTGGGGGTGGTGGTGTGTGTGTGTGGGGGGGCAACAGGGAACAGGGTCTTGGACACCCCTCATGGATCCTCCACATCACACCCCTCTTGGATCCTCCACATCACACCCCTCATGGATCCTCCACATCAAGGACAACTGCTCGGTTCATTCGGGGTCGAATAGCCTATTGTGGACGCCTAGTCTCATAATGTTGGATGCATAAGGATATTTCTTATCTTCCCTTACTGGGTAGGCAGACCATCTTCAACTTCTTTTGCTATAGTACCGCTGACGCCTAAAGTTCAAGATTCAATGTATTTCATAATGCATTCCAACCTAGTCAGGGAAATGTGTTGCATGCCAAATTCACAAAAATTAGCTAAACATAGTTTCACAGTTGATAAACCAGGTTTATCAAATGTAAACTATAGTTTACAAACCATGAACTATAGCTAGCAATTCGTTTACTATAGTTTTCATCTGTCAAACTATATTTAACCGATTGTTAACTATAGTTTACAAATGCTAATCTAGGGTTATCTGTCTGTAATAAAACGTTAACAATAGATTTTGTTGATAAACATAGATTCACATCTGTAAACGATAATTTATAATCGTGAAGTATATCAGATAATCTATGTTTTGCAATTGCAAATGATTGTTTTGGGTGTTAAATATAGTTTTCAGTTGTGAACCATAGATTATCACGTTAACTATGGTTTACAGATATAAAATATAGATTAACATTGTTAATTGTATAGTTTACAGTCCGTAAACTATGGTTTACAACTTATAAAACTGTGAAACTATGTTTAGCTCATTTTTGTGAATTTGGCATGCCATAGAAATGACTTACAAAGCCGCTGTGCTTCTGTAAAAGAAAAGAAAAAATACTAATATTAAAAATATACATGTATACATGGTGAAATTTTCTGAAAACTTTTAATCTAATAATTTAGGAATCCATTATATACATATATTATCATAGCAGTAACTTGATCCGAAGGGTCGTATTACATCGCGTAGTTGACAGGCGCGGATCATCAGATCTAACGAGACGCGAAGCGTCGACTTTGATCTGATGATCCGCGCCCTTGTCAACGAGACGTGATACGGCTCTTCGGATCAAGTTACTATTATGATGATAAATTTATTATATACCCCCCTATAACTAGCTAAATATAGCAGAATAAAACTTAAGAGATTGATTAAAACAAAGCATAATAACAAGGGACTTTTAACGCGCAAGAAAAATAACGTCATGTTTTTGCGTACTACGTCATCAGTTTCAGAGAGTGGTGATATGGATTCAGAAAACTACATGTTTGTGATCCGGACAATTGGATCACAACGTCACATGATAACGTAAATTCAACAGTAAAATTGTGTGATACACATTAGGTATATAATAGATACCAGTATCACATTTGGTAGCCTAGTGGTAGAGCGTTCGCTTTGTGATCGGGAGGCCCGGGTTCGATTCTTGATCGCGGCGCCGCGTCATACCTAAGCAGAACATAGGTAGTGACTGTTCCTTCACCAAGCACTCGGCACTAGAAGTGAAATCACGGGTCTTTCGGATATGACCTTAAAAACGTAGGTCCCGTGTCACGGTAGGCGTTGGCACGATAAAGAACCCTCACTTCTCAATGGCCCTGAGTGCTGAGTAAAGGTCTAAATTTGAAGCCCTTCACCGGCATCCATATGAGTGAAAAATTCTCAAAGAGGGACGTTAAACAATATATACAATCATTTCCTAATGCAAACATTATACATGTACATTGTAATTGGATAAGCATAAATAGAAAATATTTTGAAATGAGAGTAATACAATCAATTTTGTGTATATATACCAGCAATTAAGGTATGTAGTAAGGAATCTTCTTTATTCGCCTTTTGTCTGACAATTTCACGCACGGCAACATGTGCTGGAGATCCTGCCTCAAACCAATTTTTGTCCCTTTCCTCTGTTAATTTTGACCATGCTGGCATGAACTTCTTCCTCCTGCTCTATATGTATATGGCAAAATCCATTCATGCTCATTCACAACATGATGTATGACTCCAAACCAAATGCCCTGAAATTAGAAGAACAGTCTTTTTTCACTTTCTATTACACCCCTAATACCTTAACACAAACTGAATCAAATGATTTTTCTGTTAACAATTCAAACTTACAATAAACTCATCTTCTGTATTTCGTTGCTACAGATGATGGTTTACTATCTCTCTCGTCCACTGCAATATTGGCTTTTTTGATTTTTCTTGTCCAGTCTTAGAATAAGGTTCAAAATTCAATTTACTAATTGAGATTTTTTTTCAAATTTCAAAATATTCTCAGATTAAAAATCTTTAATTGTCTCACCTTTATTAGTTTTTTCCCAAGGTTTTTGGACCCATGCCAGATGTCGAATAAATGTTTTATTTCTGGGTATTCACTTTCTGTTAAAAAAATGTAATGAGAGTTATAGTAAATTGATTTTATTTATTTATCCCTAGAGAAAATCAGAAAAAATTCTCATTATAAATTCAAGCTAGAAGAAAACAAGATGTGTTTATGAACACTGATGCCCCCGTCTGGCAACATAGTGAAGATTGTAATTTTTGTGAAAAAAGGGTCAAAATCCAAGGTTGAGGTCAAAAGGTCAAATTTGGTGGTACCCAAACAAAGGTCTTGTCATAAGGAATATACATATGAAATATGAAAGTCATAGCTCCACTAAATCAATATTTATTAGCACTTAGGTTGAAGTTTTTGCTGACAAAGACAGACAAGGAGACAGACAGACAGACAGACACGACAAAAACTATGTACCCCAAAACTTTGTATACGGGGGCTTAAAAACCAAAGAAATATACAAAGACATACTCATAAATGCTTCAATCTGCACATGTGGATCTGTCACCTGACTTTCACCACCTTTATTTCTGTTTAAAGGAGAAACTGCAGGCCCTTCTGAAAACACGCCTTTTCAAGGATGGCACTGTTTATTCCTATCATTCTCTTGTTCGATCATGGTCACTAAGCACTGCAGTATCTTGTGGGAATCGTTTTCCATAAATGTGTATGTACAATACTGTGCAGAATGACTTGGACTGTCCATACGACCAAAATGACGCCTAAGCAAAGAAAAATATTTAAAATCAAAATAAAAGAAAATTTTTAATATATGGAACCTTTTCTTGACGAAACAAATGATACAAATATTTGGTTGATAACTTGATATTGAACTCACCAACAACAACATCTCTGCCTCTGAACTCCTCTAAAATTTCATCCTGATACTTTTCCCAAATTTCCTCAATAGTGGGCATGACGTAGGTTCTTTGTATCTTAATAAATGATGAGACGGAGAGAATAGGGAGCTTCAGGAACTTGAAAAAGAGGGGAAATCTTTTGAAAATTATTTCCTGACGCCAGTAAAGCTGCTGACAGCAAAACATCCCCACTGTGAACCCGTCTGTTAAGAAGAGGTTGTGAACACCATTTGTGTGCCTCATAATTATTTGTGCAGACCTGGAATAGAAATTTAATAAGTCATTAAGTGCCTTTGTATTTCTGTGTAAAAAAGGTTGAATGTTCGCCTTGTAACAAATTAATACATGTATTATATATTAATGACTCTTTTAAAATTATACTGAAGTTGATTACCCATCATAGGTACACAGCTGAATTACCGTATATACTCCCCTATAAGTCGTTTTTTTTTCGGAGTTAAAATTTGGTTTAAAACTCTATGTCCCACTTATAGGCGAGATACAAGAAGACTGGTATTATAGAAGGTCATTCTTTCTAAAATGAACTTAAGAAATACAACCGACTTATAGGCGAACCGACTTATAGGAGAGTATATACGGTAAGACACTACATGTACTTCTGATGAAATGTGAACTAGAGCTTCACATCCTTTCACCCCTACAAATCTTGGGGACTCCTGTTTCTGCCAAGGTTATAAGCTGACTAATGTAAACAATGGCTGGAAAATCATGGATCAGTTATTCGATTTCATCATTGTTGCGTATCACTGGTAGGCGGTCAAACTCAGAATTTTCCTTAGTTTTTTCTTCATCGCTCTCAATATGATTTCCAAATATGACTCATCTACGGTCACAACATGGTCAAGTCTATGGTAAAGAATTTAAAAAAATTATAAAATGTATATTACTACTGTTAAATGAACCAATAAACAATCATTTTTCCCAGGAGTATGTTTTATGCTATCTGAAATATTTACAATGATTAAACATATTAACCTCCTTTAATTTAAGTTTTATACATGTATAAGGGGGCGCTTTGACCAAAATCTGGGGACATTTTGACCATTGCTAGGAAATCGACTCGAAACATTTTTTTCCCTGTAAAAATATATCAGGGGACGCTTTGACCAAAACCAGAAGACACTTTGAACATTTCTTGGGGACAGTAAAGATTGTTTAAATATGTATGAAACTGTGACTTTATAATGAAGATGTTTCCTTGACTATATGTCCAATCTTATTTATGTCTTTAAGATGGACTAGAAAGAGGGAGGAGTCATCTTTATTAAAGTCACAGTTTCGTACATATTGAAAGGAAAAGAAAATAATGTTTTCCGCTGTCAAAATTAAGTACCGGTCTTGTAGAATAGGCTTAAATTTCCCCAATGAAATCTTTCCCCCCGGAAAATTGGCTCTAGAGTTGACTTTCTCTTTAAGAAAACTGGCTCTAGAGTAGGGATTTCCCCCAATAAAACTGGCTCTAGAGTAGGATTTCCCCCCAATAAAACTGGCTTTAGAGTAGGATTTCCCCTACGGAATCCCACACCTTGCAGAGTCAATTTTCCGGGGGAAATCCTTCTCTGTATAGTAGTTATAGAGTGTGATTTTCCAGTCAATTTTCCCCCCCAATGGACTATAATTTAAGTACAGATTAAATAACAAGCCTTGAAAATTACAATTTAAGTCATATTTAAATAAGTAAAATTACAGTTAAATTTTTCATTTAAAGACGTACAACACACTGGGGGAGATAACTCTTGCAATTTCAATTGAACGTTTGACTTGACGTCAAGTTTAACGTCAAAAATAAAGCGTCAAAGCGACGAGTAAAACGATCCCGATGTATATCAATCATGAAAGAAAATTGGGATATGGGTCTTGGCTGTAATTGTGCGTACCATATTCAAGCAATAAGTATTTTTTTTAATTAACCCGATTAGACTCCGTAAAAAGCAAGATATAAAAATATACAATCCCTTAATGTTTATTTCATTTCATATACAATAAATTGTATTTTTGATCAAAGCGAAGCATTTTTTTTAATTCTACATTGCCGAAATTCTCATAATGTAAAATTGGCTATATAACATCCCGATTAATGGTCTTCATTATAATTTGTGCATACACGATATACATATTGCTTTACTTCTTTAATTAAATAAAACAACAATAAAAAAAATCAATAAACTTAGATGAAATCGATGTTGTTCTCAGATCCTTACTGATCAAAGAGGAACAACTCTGAAAATATAGGAGATATTTATTTTTCTCCCTTTTTTCACGGTTTTCCACAGAATCAGATACATTTACAGCAAGACCTGATAAATCCGACAATGGAATACTATAAACCTCATTTACACAATGTAAGTAATACAATTGAAAACAAATGTTCACTTGTAATGAAATTATCTTCATTTATGAATATCCTATTGCAGCAAATCGTAACTTTAAAACTTTCTGTCAACAATGTCGGTTCGCATTTCCTCGAATCAAAACAAACGTAGCTTATAAGATTTTGAAAAACCTCAATGTGGGATTTGATATAAATTGAAATAGATGAAGAGTTTAATGTTTGATATTTTGAAGTTAATGTGGACGAATACGGAATTTTCATATTAACTTTAGAAGCGACGACACTGAAAGAAATGTGTATACAAATCACGAGGGGTGTACCCGGTATGTACATCTATGATAAATGCAAATGTCGATGTATCCCCACTGCCTGTCTCGTTTGAAATAATGACATGAAAGAAACTACAATTATTCCATTTATATCACAGAAGAGTTGAACATACACCATTTTTATAATGAATAAAATTAAAGAAATAAAATTAAAAATCAACATCAAATTCATCAAGTTCAACAAAACTTGAATTCGTATTTAGGTTTCATGTGATATGGAATGCATAACGCATAAGTATATGGACTAAAAACTAACGTCTTTGAGTAATTTTCTCCTGATACATATAAAAACAGTAGTCAATATTTATTCTGTAATCATGAATCATGACACAAAAAAGGAAGGGGTGGGGGTGACAGGGGTATTCAAAATTGCCTAAAAATCTACATTTAAAGATGCTTTCCATATGAGAACTTTTAAATTTGTAAGTTAATATACTTTTGAAGCTAAAGCAATATTCAAATTTAATTTTTTTTAATGTGTATTAGCAGATTCTTATAACAAAGTGATCGACCCCTTGTCTGAAAGACGCACGGGAATGTGATTTTCTGAGAAAGGGGGAGGGGGTAATTTTCCGCTATTAAATCAAAACTGGTCGAACAAAAATTATACAAAAAATTATGAAGATTACTTTTACTATCAGCTAATTAAATAAATTGTTTTAGCAAAATTAAACGACAGGTTTTTCACAAAAAAATTTTGAATTTAAAAAATACGCAATTTTCAAGGCTAAGGAAATTCAAAGTTTTTCAGTTCAAGGTCTTTAAAAATTGTGTTGAAGATATGTATATCAAAAAGATGACTATATTTTTGTGTCAAATGGTTAAAGGAATAAGTCAATAAAATTTGTCATTGATATCTAATCTGGTTTTTTGAAAATCAAGGTTTAAATAGTTCTTTGATTAAAAAATTTCTCTCCTTGTAAACAGCTAAAGGGGGGTAACTTTCGGAAGTTCCTGTCCAAAATCCACTCGAACGATTTTGTCAAAAATATGCATATATGCAGTAGATATAGTCATGTACTGAATATATAAAAATAACGAAAATTAAACGACAGGAATTTTTGGGGGTAGGTGTGTTGTACATCCTTAAAGTTTCACAAAAATTGGATTTAAGAAGATTTTAAAATATGACAAAAAATGCATAGATTAATAAGTATGCTTATGGAAAGGTGGAAATTTGAACATCATAGTATGTTTACAATTTTTTAATATTTTAGAAAATTTATTATTGTAATTATTTACAACCAAAATATGTCCAAAAATATATACCAATCTAGACATCAATTTTTGTTTGTTTCATTATATTTTGAGTATATTTTACATTTCATTTGAAAGCTGTAAATATTTTGATTAAGATTCAATGATTTGCCTTGCAACATAAGTAAAAAGAAAACCCACTTATTACCTGATTTTAAAAATTGGTTTGTCGTTTATCTTTTTTTCACAAAAATATTGCGGCTGTGGTTTGTATTATCTCTAAAATGAGGGGAAATCCTACTCTTAGAAAGAAAGAGGGGGGGGGGGGGGAATTTGGCTCTGGTGTGAGATTTCCACTCGGGGGGAAATAGCTCTCTACAACACCGGTACTTTTTTCGCATGGTTTAAATTTACACTATATGTACCTGGTCACAAATTTTCCATGGAAATTTGTCCAAGCATACTTAACATAGATGCAAGGCATATAGTGACAGTCTTAAAAATCCACGTATTTTTTAATTCGCTGATTAAATGAAAATTGAGATTCTGCTGAGTTATGAACCCATGGAAAAAAGCATGTCTACAGTAACTATAGTAATATTAACTGTGATAAACAGATAAAGTACCATTCTGTGGTTTTGGTATGGTGGCAGTTTTACATGGGGGTCGTTTCGGGCTTTGATTTTCTTCACCATGGGGTATCAGGGCTGGGGCTTCCCGCGTTCTCACTCGTTTGTCCAGGCTCCATCTTTCTTGTCGGCCAAAGGAGCAAAGCCGAACAAGATGACCGTTCCACTCTCCTCCTGACTGTCTCCAAACAGTCTGATCTCCAGCTCCCAGTAAAATGTAGGAGCCTGTACTAAAAGTAAAGAAATGGGGCAACTGTTTCTCTCTTATTATTATTTTCTCCATATTTGAATTACTGGGTTTCATATACATATAGAAATTTAAAGGAATATAGGTGAATT